CTGATGTCCAGTACAGATCCCTGAGGGCCAGCTAAACAGCCTTTGTCGTAATCAGAGTCCAAGGCATCTGGGAATAACTCGTCTTTATATTCACTAACAAGCCGAAGTATACTAAAATTAGGCTCGATTTTATTGGCAAATCAAACGATATGATCTGTAATGAAGTAATATAAGAAACAACCAAAAACACCTAATAACCAAAATAACATTTATTGGCGTACGTGTCTCTTGCACTGGGGTAAACAAACCGAACAATTTGTACATTTCAAGGTCATTTAATCTATGGAGCTATACGCACAACGCCAGTTTATCGCGACTCTAACTTTATGACGTTGAAAGCTCTTGATTTGTTCATCACACAAGCAACTGAAATGAAATTACTTCTCTGCCAATGTGGCATCTGCGCCGTCAAAGTCCTCTTTGCTCATGTCTGCCTCATTGTTAGCAATATGTCCTGCCTTTTGTTTGGATGATATCGAGTTACTGGCTTTCATCAGAAATGCATCCATGCGACCTTGACTCTTAAGAGTGGCATCATTCTTGTTCTTTCTGCTTAGACACTTGTCGAAGTGGTCTGTAATTATTTAAGTATTTAGTTTAGATATCACGAATTTCCATGCTCTAAGCATCCCTCTCTCGGTTTCCAGCCGCTTTTAACCTTTCAGTATTAAAAAAAGTCGTCTCGTTGACGTTTTTCAATAAGTGCTCCCATTGTAATTCTTTGATGATGATTATTCGTCTCTTATCTCTCTACGTTTAGCTACTTTTCGTCAATTCTGGATGAGTAATTTCATAAATTTTATAAAAATTAACGCTAAAAAGTCACGTTTCGACCTCTATGAGGTCATTTTCAAGTGTGAATAAAAATACAAAATATATATTAAAATAGTTAAAGGACTTAACAGGCAAGACTGTCACGGACGCTAATTTATTATAAGTCTGATAAAATATGTAAAGATAAGTGATCATTACTTACTCGCTTTGAAGTAGCTGACTTTTCCATTAAATGTCCTGTCTGTGTGACGACAAGCATCGCTTTTTGAACATATGCCACACTTGATTTGCACTTCGCTTAGTGCAACACTGCCATTCAAATCCTTCAGAGCTGAAAAAAAAATCCGATCCTTCAGTTTCTTTTGAATTGTCCCTAGGTTTTGCCCTGCCCCTACAAAGAGAAACCCATAAACTCTATTACTATCATTATCACTTTGGAGGGTATTGAGAAAAAAAAAACTTGACAGCAAGCGTTTATAACTTGAATGCCGGGCTCTTATTTTCGCACAATGAAAATACCAACGCTAAAAGCTAGCCAGCTTTGGTTGATACCAAAGCTGGCTAAAAATTACAAAATCTTCCCCTATGTGTGTTGTGAAGAATCGTAAAAGACGTGAAAGAAAAAATGGATTAACTTATTTGTAAGTATTGAAAGTAATTGTGCAATTGCAAGACTGACAGTTTGGCATAATTGGTTAAACAGAGTTTGTTTTTCTTGAATCCGAAAAACTTACATGCACTTCGCTATCGGCCATGGAATCAGCATCTACCTTTTTAAGATCTTCCCTACCTGAGAAGATTGAGAATTTACAATTTTTTGTTGTTTTCTGTGTTTTCAGCCATGATTTGGGCTTTAAAAATAGCTCCACGGTTTCTTTTACCAACGCTACAAGAAGACGGCGCGAACATTGGTTGTCTTGGTTTATTTTTAAACTAAATTTGCCCGGCAAATTCTTTATTTTTAGCACGCAAAATGCGCCACAATGCCCATCAAAGTGATAATAATACAGTTT